TGAGACTAGGGAGAAATTGGGGTCCAAGTATAAGCACCCAAACACAAGCACCCAAGCACCCCATCATGCCTAGCAGTGTGAACACATCTTAAAATAGCAATCTGTGATACTGATTTAATTATTATTCCCAGAGTGAGAGCAAGAGGTGGAAAGACATGTGGGAAAGGGATATATGTGAGACAGCAGAGCACATGGTAAGGTGCCCATGCTGGCTAGGTCCCAGTGGTCTAATGGATTACTAGATGAGATGTCAAGAAGGGATTGAGGCCAACTAGATATAATGGCTTGAGATGAGTTTTCACTCACCTACTAATCAGCAGATCTAGGAGTTCCCAAGGTAAGTGGAATAACTCTCTAGTTGGGCTAAAGGTTCTTGGAGGTTAAGAACACCAGGTATTGGTTAGATTATTTTGTTATCCCTTCTGTGGCTAATTCCCTTGAGAAAGCCATCTATAATAGGTTCCTCCACTTCTTTTCCTCTCTTTTTAACCCTACAGTCTGGTTTCCAACCTCATCACCCAAACTTCCGCTGTCTCTAAAGTTACTATTGATCTCCTAATTGCCAAATCTTAATTTTAATTGTAATTGACACTGTTGAATAACTTTGAATTACTCTCTCTTCTTTGATTTTTCATAATACTACATTCCCCTGTTTCTCCTACTTATCTGACTGCTCCTTCTCAGTCTTGTTTTCTGGATCTTCATCTATGTGGGTATACCTGATGGCTCTGTCCTGGGCCCTCTTCTCTTTGTACATTTTCTCACTTGACAGTCTCATCAGGTCCTGTGGATTGTTACCATTTCTATATAGATGACTCCTGGATCTGTCTGTGATGCCCCTAATCTCTCTCCTGAGTTTCTTTAAAGGCATCTCAAATTCAATATGTCTTTGCCCTCAAACTAACTCCAGTTCTCAACTTTGCAAAATCTTAGGATCACCCTCAACTCCTCACTTTCTTTAACTTTTGTATCATCAGTTACCCAGTCTTGCAATTTCTACTTCTTCAGATGAAGGCAAGGTAACATTTACTTTGTGCTGGTCACTGTGTTAAGCACTGGGGAACCAAAGAAGGGCAGAAGACGGTCCTTGACCTCAAGGAGATAACAGTTTAATGGGGGAGAGAACATATTAGCGACTACATATGGACGAGATATACACAGGGTAGTTGGGATATAATCAGCAGAGGGGATCAGTGGGGGCTTATGGAAGGTGAGCTCGAAGGAAGTCAGGAGCTGAGAGGCAGAGATGAGGGGCGGGGCAGGGGGAGCCTTCTAGACCGAGCTTTACAGGATTATTCACATATTCTCTACTCATAGAGTTCCCATCCAGGTGCACAGACCCTTATCGCCTTTTGCCTGGATTGTTGGAGTAGCCTTTTCTTTCTTTTTTTTTTTGGATGTTTGAAGTGCAACTTTATTGTGCTCTAAACAAAAAAGGAATAGGAATAATAGTAACCAACACCATTTCATCATTGAAATATTGTGCTGGGACTGCATTGACCTTAAATTTGCTCTCAGGGAGAACATAATTGTAATCCAAAATGGCTAAATGCACAAAATATGTCTAAAATCAGGTCCCAAGTATGAATTAATTATATTTTAGAAATCGTTACATTCACTCCAAAGCATTTTTTTTTTAAATGGGCAAGGCAGTTGGGGTTAAGTGACTTGCCCAGGGTCACACAGCTAGTAAGTGTCAAGTGTCTGGTCTGAGACCGGATTTTGAACTTGGGTCCTTCTGACACGTTGAAAATACGCAATGCTACCGACATCACAGGACGCTTGTTTGTAAAACTACACTTCTGACCCTGAACCCTAGCTTCCTTCCTTAGCAGGTTATCATCTTTAGGTAGCCCAGGTGTCTAAGCAGTCTGGAAGTCCTGCTCTTGCTGTGCTGTCAGCGTTGGGCCCGTGACTGCCTCTGGAGGTGCAAGAGCAGGCTTTTCCTAGTAAAGCAGAGGAGGGGCCTTTCAGAATACAGTCACTCAGGCCTGGAGAGTCTTCTTCCTGTGGAGAACAGTGGGTTTCACCTTGACTTGTTTGCACATAGTATCTGCTTTGTTGCTGCTCGACTCCGGAGGGACATTTTTACACACTTGTGTGAGATCTCTCTGCCAGTTTGGTAGATCCTTGTAAGTAACTCTTGATGTCACATCAGACATTATAGTAGCACATTGAACTGGGATATAACTCTCTCTCAGACCACCAATAGCTCTTGGCCAGCTGTATCCCATGTGTTGAATTTACTAGGGTTTGTCCCTCACACACAGTGCTCCGTTGTCCATGTGCAAGCTTTTGTACTGGCTGTCCCTCTTCACGTGAATTGCCCTCCCTCCTCACCTGTGACCCTTAAACAAAACTCAGCTCCGGGGCCGCCTACTCAGTGGAGCCTCTCCTGATTCTCCCAGCTCCAAATACATCATCTCTCAGAAAACTGCTTTGTATGTTGTCTACGTTTGTGTCTGTCTAGACATGTCAATGTGTGCTCCACTAAAACGGGCAGCCCTTGAGCTCTAGGACTGGGTCACTTTTGTCTCTGGCGCAGGGTTTGACCCATAGTAAGCACTTAATGCTTATCCCCTGACTGTCAGACCTCCCAAGGACCTTGAAACAGAAGGCTAGAGCTTGATATTTGGAAACAAAACCATTGCCTTTTTAGCCTGTAAAAATGCTTTATCGAAGCCATGGAATTGAGTTGTCTGTATGGATTGTAGGATGGATTATAGAAAACTGTCTAAGGTTTCTGTTGAACAAGTAGACACACCAACTACGCAATTTCTTAGGAAGGAGACACAGGAGGGGCTTCTAAGCACCTCTTTCACTAGCAGGTTCGCTTTTGATCCAGTCAGACAGGAAGACAGGCATAGAGTCATAATAAGGGGTTAAATAAGCTTGCTTTAGTTTAGTCTTCTCAAAGGGAGTTTGATGGTAGTGGGAGCTCCAACTCCTATAGCATTCCCTAACAACCCTTCTTACAGGGGCCAGGGTGAAGGTGGGGGGCAACTACCCCTGGTCTCATTGGGGTCAATTGAGACCAGCACAACTTGTGCGCTCCCTTAAGTCCCCTCAAGCCTCAGTGGTGGCCAGTTGAGGCAAACACACAGATTCCCCCCTCCCAAGCCTTGATGGGGGCCTATCAAGTCATGCACAGCTTTCAGCCTGTACATTTACCCCTATGGGGGTCCCCAGTCACTGACCAGTGCCCACATGCTTTATAGGGCAACAGACAAAGAAGGCATATAGCCTCACGATTTTACATCACTTCATCCCTATGTCTACTGCGCAATCGTGGTAGAAACTGGTAGGAACTGTTTTGAACCATGATAGTGAGGACTCATATCTAACACCTGGGAAGTAGAGATTGTTATGGCTATGGATTCTGAGAAGAAAACTCTAAGAAAGAAGAAGAAAAAATCCACTTCATACACACTAAAATTCACCTTCTTTATAGTTTCTTTCGAAGTCCTTTCCCTAACTTTGAAGTGAGGTAGTTTTCTGATTTAATTGCAGAGAAGTGGTTTTATTGGTTTCTTGGAAATCAAATACTGTGTATTGTCTATGAGTGTAGACTCGAAGGGAAATAGAGGATCTGTGCTGCTTAACTGAAAGGCATTTGTGATTGGGTTTTGTTTTTATTTTTTTCCACTTTCCCTATTTGGATTTGTGTTAACTTGCTGTTCTTTTAAGTTATGCTGTTAGACTCTCTCCTCTCTCCTGTCATTCAAAACAAACACAAAAGCCCTTGCTTTTCACTTGTTAAAGCCATTTACTTTGTTATTCTTTTTGCTAGGAGGGGAGAGAAAGGGGGGTTTCTTGGAGGCAAAATCTAATAATTCCACTTTATAGATCAGACAGCAAGAGATACCTATCTAGCAACAAACATCCATCACATCAGTGTCCACCACTAACTCTCCCCTTGCCCTCCCACCAAGAGCACAAGCAAGTCACAGACCATTTCACCTGATTTCACCTTTCTGAAGAGCAAAGGACTCAAGGTATGAGCCTGGCTCTTCTGCTCCATTTCTGAAGTGCTGTTAGAAACAAGCTGCTTTTACTCTCTGCCCCTCCAAGTGTAGTCTTCTGTCAGGTGCATTTCAGTTTATTCTAGTTGTTCCCTCTTTATGCTTTAGTAAGGAGGCAACCTGGCCCATTGATCAAATTAGAAACAGCTGTGTGATGTGGGTTGAGCCCTGTATATGGAATCGTAAAGATCTCTTCTAGTGGTGGTACTGATACTCAGTGACCTTGGACGTCATCCCTTACTATCTCCCTTTAGTCTCCTTATTTGTAGAAAGGAGGAGATAATAATTGTGCCACCTGGTTTAAAGGGGTCATTATGAAGAAAGTGCTCTGTGCACTGTAACTGTCACGTGTCACAATATGGAAGCTATGTATCATCATGATTAGTACTGAAAGACTTAGAAAAATTATTGGGTGAGATTGATTGTCATGATTTAATCAAAACAATAAATCCCCAGAGAGGAGCATAGAGTTATCCCTCCAGTGTGGCATTGCTGTCATTGCCCACATCCCAGTGGAATATGTGATTTATCTCCAAATGGCAGGCAAGGCATAAAGAGTATTTCTGTTTGCTTATTTTGCTTTTCCTGAATGATTTACTACTGAAGTTGAAAACTGCTTTATGCCTCTAACCTTTGGCTTACATACATTGGTCAGTCATTTGTGAAAAGCATGTACTCTAGAACTTGGGGGCGATGATATAATTTATAAATGATTGGTTTTTAAAAAATCTAGAGGTACAAGAGTGAACCTGCATCTACCCTCAGGGCAAATAGGCAGAGGCTTCCTAGGACAGGCCACTGTATGTGTGTTGGCAGCTGTGCTCACTGGGTCAGAAGTTTTTGCTTACTTGTTTTTCTTTGTCACAAGAGAAGTTTTACTATGTGGGGGAAGGCAGGATTTGAAGTCACTGAGATTTAAGGACAAAATGCATCAATAGAACATTAATACAGTAATTCTTTATTTCTTGTTTTTCTTAGGCAAGACTCTTTGATGAACCCCAACTGGCCAGCCTGTGCTTGGAGAATATAGATAAAAACACATCGGATGCTATCAATGCAGAGGGCTTCACAGACATTGATTTAGGTAATGTTGGCTCTTGAAATACCTTTACCTTCTTGGTGACCCTATGTGGAATATGTTTCTGTGGCCCAAACATGCTCACCACCTTTAGATAAAGCACCATTAGCTACTTTCATAGTCAACCTTGGCTTTAAAATCCAGCAATCATTGTTTTAACCCCTGAAACAGCTGGGCTTTATGGGGTTTGTGTGTGTGTGCTTTTCACGAATTTGTTTTTTAACCTGCCTGTGGCCCCAGGTAGGTATATCTGGAGTTTTACCAGCTGGTAAAACAAACAAACAAACAAACAAAAAAAGTAACAACAAAAACAGAAAGTCCAGAGTTTTATATGTAAGTTGTCAGTCATTTTTAGTCAAAAAGTTATGACGGTGTGGGAAGATACAGACTCATGCTCATGGTCTCTGGGAACTTGTAGTCTTCAGGTTTTGTGAGCTAGAAGTAAATTATTGGTCCTCATTTGAGCTTAAATTGGTTCAGCTTTGGCTTGGGGGTAGCTCTGTGCTGACTGGGTACACATTTCCTGCCTCAAAGCATGGACTGGTCAGTGTAACCACAGAATATGACAGGCAGGCAGGGACGTTGCTGTTGCCTCCTTGGGAGGTCATGCGCTTGGACGGTCATCTCCCGGCCGCCGTCCCGGTGGTCTCAGCACCGGGCCTTTGGTCAGAGCGTGTGAGGGACCCTGACCAGCGTACAGCAGCCTCATCCTCTCAAAGGACCAACTCCCTCAATTAAAATGGATTAAAAATAAGTGGAACGTGAAACGTATGTGAGAATGGCGTCCCCGTGGCTCAGTGTCGTGGTTCTTGTTCTTTACTTAGACACGCTTGTTGCCGTGCTGGAGCGGGACACCTTGGGTGTCCGGGAGGCCCGCTTGTTTAACGCCGCAGTTCGCTGGTCAGAAGCAGAGTGTCAGCGGCAGCAGCTTCCAGTGACTCCGGAAGACAAGCGGAAAGTGTTGGGCAGAGCCCTTTCCCTCATCCGTTTCCCACTGATGACAATTGAAGAGTTTGCTGCAGGTAATGTGCTGCTCTCAGTCTGTAGCATATCTAAAAGCTTTTTAGGACAGCGAAGACCTGGGAGGACGTAGGCACAAAACCAACAGCCTGGTGAGTGGTTAATTCCTGAAAGAGCCGCACCTGAGCTCTTCAGGGGTTGCACCTGAGTTCTTCAGGGGTCACCCCAGAGATGCACCGGGCCCCATCACCTCAGCAGCGCCCTCAGGGCCGCGTGCAGAGGGGGACGCAGGCTGCCTTCTAAACTTGGTGGACCACGTGTCCGTTCCAGGGGCACCACGCCCTTTTCCTACTTTGTGGTTTTTGGCCCCCTCACTCCACAGATCCTCCATGGAGAGCCCATCCATGGACCAGAGACTCCGTTGTGACCTCGTGGGTGTACCTATCAATGTTGTGTTGAGGTTGTCCATCTGGTCCCCTCTTCTCTCACTTTGGAACTGACCCATCTCCTTGTCTAGTCTTCCGTGGGCTTTCATGCCGCGCTGGTGAGGCACGCCATCTTCAGTCACGTGTGGCAGCTTGCCATTTCCCTCTGGGTCAGCTACAGTTGGGATTCTTCTGAAATCCTGATGGTCTGTGATTCACAGCCACGAGCTTTTGCTGTTAATAGTGCACATTCCAGGCACTTAGTAAGTGTTGGTGTTTGAATGAAATGTTGCCCATATTAGGCTCAGACTAGTTTATTCATTAAACAAAGGCTGTATTTAACTTGTTGAGAGGCTGGTTTCAGGTCAGGATGGCTCTTGTTCGTCTGGGTCATGTTGACAGGGTGACCTTTCCCTTTTGCTGTCTTGGAGTTTCTTCCGTTTCCAGGCTTATATATTATAATAGTCATCTCCTATAGATAGATAGGACTTTCTTCTACTTTACACACATGCGCACACACAGAGAACAGGTTGAGGTTTTGAGAGATGAGTTGCTTACTGAAAGCTTGAAGCATCCTCGCTTACTTTCTGGAGCCCATCAAATTCAGCTATTTCTGGTGACCTTCTGATCTGAGTTCTCTTTCCAGTGCTCTTTGTGTTCAGTGAGCCATCTTGTGTAACACTTGGATCTTCACTGTGGAATATTGTGTTTCAGTTGCTGTTTGAAATGATTATTTCCCATGAAAAATTCTGTTTCTGTGATGAGAGACTGTATTTTAGAGGCGCTTTGTTCATCTTTGCACACCCCATGATGGCTAGCCTAGGTCTTGGGGCATATTCAGACACTCAGTGAATAACTGCTCCTGTTTCTAGCAGTGGAAGGTTTACAAAGTTCTTTCCTCCCGGGAGGCCCATGTGCAAGTTGTCTCCACTTAACTCAAAGGGGCATCTGAGAGTCCCAGAGGTAAGCTGAATGAGTGGTTGAGGTCACCAGTGAGGTGTACATTGTTGAAGAGTGAGGACAAGAGGGGCAGGATTCCTGGCAGAAAAGCTAGGAAAGGTAGAAAGTAGCTCACGTGCACATAGCCAGTGCCATTGTCTTGGGGTCTTCGGTACAGTCAGTAGCTGTACACCTCCGGAGACTGAGGACCTGACTCTGTTACAGTCTTGTGAATTACTCTTCAAAATGAGTCATTGAGAGAGGAATGCCTATTGCTCAGAATCCTGTTTGAGAAGGCAGGGTAAGATGGAATACAGTTTAGAAAAATATCCATCAAAAATGGTCTTTAAAGAAAGACACTGTAGTTCAAATCGGGCTTCAGATACATAACACATACTAGCTATGTGACCCTGGGCAAGTCACTTTAACCCAATGGCCTAGCCAAAAAAAAAGAAAAAGAAAAAAGAAAGAAAGACACTTTAAAAGATTTTAAAATGGCACTTCACTTATTTAGGAAATTCACATTCATGAAACATCTTCCCTGATGATACCAGATAAATGAGGCTTTTCCTGTCCTTTTCCCTTTACTCATAGACATGTATTTATGTATATGTGTTTGTATGTGTTTGTGTTCACACACATGTGTATAGTATATACTTAACAAGAACAAGTAACTGTTACAAGCCAACTTGTTCATGAAGTCAAATTGAGATACTATCCATTTGTTGTTGTTCCTTAGATGATTGTGTGGTAATTGAATTTTATTTTTTTAAATTAATTTATTTTGGTTTATCGACAATCACTTCCATAAGCTTTTGAGTTTTAAATTTTTCTCCCCCTCCCTCCCCAGCTTGGTGCGCAATCTGATACAAACTATGCATATACATTCCTATTAAATATATTTTCACATTAGTTGTGTTGTAAGGAAGAATTAGAACCAATAGAAGGAACCACAAGAAAGAGGAAACAAAACAACACAAGGAAAAAAAAAAGAGCAAACAGTATGCTTTGCTCTGCATTCAGACTCCATAGTTCTTTCTCTGGATGTGGATAGTATTCTCCATCATGAGACCTTTGGAGATGTCTTAGATCCTCACATTGCTGAGAAGGGCTAAATCTATCAACGTTAGTCATCGCACAACATGGCTGTTACTGTGTACAGTGTTCTCCTGGTTCTGCTCACTTCACTCAGCATCAGTCCATACAGGTCTTTCCAGCTTTTTCTGAAGTCCACCTGCTCATCATTTCTTGTAGAACAATAATATTCCATTACATTCATATACCACAACTTGTTCAACCTATTCTCCAATTGATGGGCATCCTCTCCATTTCCAGTTCTTTGTCACCACAGAAAGAGCTGCTGTAACTATTTTTGTACATGTGGGTCCTCCTCCCATTTGTATGATCTCTCTGGGATACAGCCCTAGAAGTGCTATTGCTGGGTCAAAGGGTATGCACATTTTTATAGCCCTTTGGGCATAGTTCCAAATTGCTCTCCAGAATGGTTGGATCAGTTCACAGCTCCACAACAATAATTTTAATTTCTTCACTTACACCCTGTAGAATTGTTCTAGAATATTAAACTTCTATCTTAGTACCTTTTTGGAAGGAAATTAAAAACAGATATTCCCCACCTGTCCCCCTCCCTGTGTCTTGATGTTTTAAGTACATTAGAGAAATTATTGTTCCTGAAACATTGCAAATTTGAAAGTGGTTCCTATCTGAATATTTCATTTCTGAGACTGGACCAGGCTGCGAGAGTTGTGTATCTTGTGTTGCCTGGAGGCTGGGGCTGGTCCTGGCCAGTGGCAGCCATGCCACAGGGCTTGAGGAGGTTCTGTTGAGGTGTTCAGCGCATCCTCCCTGTGTTTGTTCTCTGCTCCAGGGCCTGCTCAGTCGGGCATCCTCACCGACCGGGAGTGGTCAGCCTGTTTCTCCACTTTACCGTGAACCCAAAGCCTCGAGTGGAGTTCATTGACAGACCTCGCTGCTGCCTTCGAGGGAAGGAGTGTAGTATCAATCGCTTTCAGCAGGTGGAGAGCCGCTGGGGCTACAGCGGGACTAGTGACCGGATCAGGTGGGCTTCGCTCCCGTCAGCACTGATGAGCCTGTGGGTTGTGTCGGTTTTCATTCTGACTATTGAGTAAAGTCATTTTACTGCCCTCCCTTCGCCTAGGGAGAAGGGTTTTGTGCCGTGGAAGGCTCTGTCCTCGCCTCCTCGTTACTCAGTCCTCACATAGGCCTGATGGAGACAGGAGGGCAGCCCATCCGTGTAATTCTGGTCCACACCCTCCCACAGTGCTGCAGCTGGAGACCATGGGCTCGAGGCCTCGTGCAGTTTCTCCTCCCCTTACAAGGGCACCTCACATACATGCCCTTGTCAGCACCTGACATGTGACGAGCTTACATTCTTCTCCTGTTGTAACTGATGATCTCTTTTAGTCCCTTGAGCGTCTGAGTCCTTTCAGGTTCCTCCTGTGTTGCAGCCTGCTTCTCCCTCCAGGTGCCTCTCCTTGTTTCGCTGTGTGACAGGCACAGCAGTCATCGTGGGACTGTGGGACGTGGGATGCGGTGCCGACAGAACAGAGGGGTTACAGATGTGTTGTGACCCTTTGTTTTAGGGAGAAGCTTGGGGAAAGTAAGGGAGCTTTGCCGTTTCCTTGAGGGTCACACTTGTTCACTTTGGGTAAACGTGGAAGCTCTTACGTGGGGCTGGTCCTACTGAAATGTGGAAAGGGGCTGAAGTCTTTCTTTTTCACACCTGCCTTCTTTTTCTCCAGTACTCCCTCCAGGGGCCATTACTGGAAGAATAAATAAGAAGGCGAGAGTCAGAAAACACTTTTTAAAAACAGAGCTATACAAGCTCAGCATTCTGGGGATGTTCTTTGTGATGGAAGCAAACGTCTCCGCATCTCATAGCTCTGCATACAGCTACGAAGCATTTTCAGTGTCGTTTGCGTTTGATACAGATCTAAAACTTTTCTAACCCAGAGCAATTGTTCTGTCTCCCTGGGGTTGGATTTTATCCTTCATAAGTCCTGGAGAGGGGGAGGAGCAAAGTTTCTTCTCCAGATAAATGCTTCATGGAAGACTAAGCCCCAGCACGCTGGTACCACACCGGCCGGACAGGCTTGGGGGCCGTCCTTTGCTCTGTCCTTCTGGTCGATGGTAGAGCTTTTAAAAAATAAGTAAATAAGCTTACGCATCTACTGGGACAGTCAAATAAGTGTGTAGGACGAGGGGGGAGGTCTTACTCGAGCAGAAGCCCTGACCTGTTGTAAGGCTGGGCCCCACGGATGAGCAAACATTGAAGAAGGTGCTTCCCCCCCGTGTTTTTGGGGATCTTCTTCAGCCAGGAGGACGCTTTTTGTTCCCTTCCGTGACTCTGCGCCGGGCCGTGACACAGCAGAGTAGTCTACAAGGCCAATAACTCTCTTATCTCCTCAGGTTCTCAGTTAACAAAAGGATATTTGTGGTGGGGTTTGGATTATATGGATCAATACATGGACCGACGGATTATCAAGTCAACATACAGGTATCGGCCCTACTTCAAATCCATTAGACGGGCTCCGCGAGGTAGCGCAGTGGGTAGAGCACCAGCCCTGGAGTCAGGAGGACCTGAGTTCAGATCCAGTCTCGGACCCTTCCTAGCTTGTGTGACCCTGGGCGAATCAGCCCTGATTGCCTCAGAAAAGAAAAAGGAAGTGAACCACTTGGGACCGGTTTACCTCTACTGAAATCAAATCAGAGACTGACTTTGTAGCTGGTACCCCCAAATTGTGCAGGAACCCTTAGAACTCGCCCTTTGTACCTCCTGTCTTATAAGCTCTCTACATTTGTTTCCTCATCTTCAGAATGTGAGTGATTATTCTTCTGTTCCCTACATCACACAATTGTTGCACTCAAAGTACTTTGCATTGCTCTAGGAATGTGAGTTGATGCTTTTACCTATTGAGTTGTCGACATTAGCAAACGTAGTGAGTTTTTGTATTGGAGTTCGGGCATTTGTTTAGATAGTCTGAACGCTGGGGAAAAGATCTGAGGGATTAAGCCAGCCCCCTTATTTTATGAAGAGACACTCAGGCACATGTGCTCTTTTCAAAGAAAAAGGGATTTTAAATTGTCCTTTAGGGAGTTTTGAAACATCACTTGGTAAAATTGTTGATAATCAGCATTTGTCCTGTAGAACAGAGGGGACAGAGGGTCAAAATGCCAATTCTGTTATTTCTCACAAGCTCCACCTTTGGAGCTTTTCCATGCAGAAAATCCATTCTTTCTCGTCCTCTGCTTGTCAGATCATTCACACTGATAGTAACACAGTCCTGGGTCAGAATGACACCGGCTTCAGCTGTGATGGGTCCTCTAATACATTCCGGGTCATGTTTAAAGAGCCTGTGGAGATCCTGCCCAATGTTAACTACACGGCGTGTGCGACACTGAAGGTACAGTGCTTCTGGGGAAGGGGCCCCAGGCCACGCTCCTGTCTGGGGGGGTTTTAGCACTTGACCAGCATCAGGCTGGTCATGCCATGCAAAGGCACATTCTTCTGGTGTGAAGATGTGGTTTATTTGGCTGTGGAGTTAAAAAAGAGTTTGTACACACCCTTACCAGCTTTGCCACCTACCCAGCTATGTAGTCATGCATGAGACACTTCTCTGGGTCTACTTCCTCATCAGTAAAATGGATTCATTCAGTAAACATTGGTTTAGCACCTTCCATGTACAGTACTAAATTGGGTGCTGGGCATACAGGCAAAAATAAAGCTGTTCCTGCCCTCTGGGAGTTTATAGTCTAATGGTAAGCTACAGCATGGGCACAGGAAAAGTATTCTGTAGAAGAAAGAGAGCCCTAACAGTTGGGTAGTGAGGTAGAAGCAGGGTATGTCTTATGGAGGAGGTGGTACATCACATAAGCTCTGAAGAATTCTGAGAAGCTCCCTGAGGAGGAAGCACCTTTCTGGCCTACAGGCCTCACCGTGGTGGTGGGCTGAACTAAGGCAGTAGCCATGGAACTCTGGAGAAGGGGAGAGATGTGAGAGAGACTGTGAACATAGAATTACCTAGACTGGGTAGCTGATTGAGGGTGGGGTATGACTTAGAGAGGAGCTAAGGTGATTTCTCAAGGGTGCAGACCTGGTTGACTAGAAGATTAGGGGCCTTAACATAAATAGGGAAGTTTAGAGGAGGATGTGTGTTTGGTGAGGAAGGAGGTGAGGTCAGTTTTGGACATGCTGAATTTTAGCTGCCGGCAGGGCTTCGAGTTGGAGGGAGGTGGAGACACCATGTTAGATTCTGGAGAGATGAAGGCAGGACAGAGAGATCTGTGAGTCATCTGTGTCGAGATAATGATTGAGAAGGATATGACATCACAGATAGAGAAGAGAATGGGGCCCAGGACAGAGCTTTGTGGGTGGAGATGGATGATAAACGAGCAGAAGAGACTGAGAAGGGAATGGCCAGAGAGGTGAGAGGGAGGACCAAGAGGAAGAGGTGTCCCATGAGCCAAGGAAGAAGAGTGTGTAGAGGAAGGGGTGGATGGAGCCTAGCGATGCCCCCCAAAAGCTGCTCGGTGGCCAAGGAGAAGAGACGTGAGAACACAGTGAGAGGCCACCAGGTCCTTGTAAGGAACCGTCAGGTGCTTTGGAAATGCGATCTACAATTATCAGTCCTTTGTCCATGTAACGTGAGGGAAGTGTGACTTTGCTATTCCCTGGGGCCCATGTTGCAGGATCCATGCTGTCAGTGTCAAAGTGAAATAGTGCTCTTTCTGTCTCAGTATTAAACATGTATTCGTGGTTCTGAAGGAGTGGTCCTTTCAAGGGACCCACAAGGCCAAAACTGTTTTCATAATGATATTAAGATGCTCTAATTTCTGATAACCGTCAAAATCGATAGATAAAATCCACATAAACAAAAGTTCTTGGTGGGAGAATTAAGAGTGCAAAAGGGTCCCGAGAGTAAGAGGTTTGAGAACTATTGAAATATGTAAACAAACACACACATATATTTCTATATAGATAACTATCTATCTCTATGCACACACACATATGTATGATGTGTATATACACACACACACACACACACACACACACACACACAAATAATATATATATATATGTATATCTCAGTGGTTCCCAGACTTCTTGCTCTCAGGATCCTTTTACACACACGTATTTTGTTATATATTACTATATATTTCATATATATTAGTATATATAACATATATTACCGTTTTGCTTCTGATACTCTGTATCGAGCATACCATATAGTGTCAAAAGTGATAGTGATATATATGTATACATTTTATGTGTGTGATATATATGTATAGAGTATAAAAGTGATATAGTGACATATATGTATGTAAATATATAGAAACACATAGACATGTACACATTCTGATCTTCATAATGGCCGTGTGAGGTAGGTGCTACTTTTATTTTCATTTTACAGTTGAGAAAATATAACCTGAGGGAAAAAGGAAGTTTCTTAGTTGCTTCTGGCCTCTGGGAAGCCCACCTTAAAGCCACAAAACCCCTTGGTTTAGACAAAGAAGCTGCGTTTGAAAAGCCCAGTGCCCTTCGACAAATGTAGATGTTCCCTGTGGCGAGGCTTTGGAGAAGGCAGAGACAGAATTGTTTTGTGGAGGCTGAAGCCTGGGGCAGAGACGCTTGTGTCTATGTCTGGTTGCAACCTCTACATCCAACCAGTGCCTGAAAACCCTTTTTAAAAAGCCGATGTAAGGGCAGCTGGGTGGTACAGTGGACAGAGCGCCAGCCCTGGAGTCAGGAGGACCCGAGTTCAAATCCGGCCTGAGACACGTAACACTTACTAGTTGTGTGACTCTGGGCAAGTCACTTAACCCCACTGCCTAGCCAAAAAAGAAAAGAAAAGAAAAGCTGATGTAATCATGAAGAATAGTCCCCTTCAGGGAGAGCAGTGGATGTGGAGTCAAGCTGTGGCTCTGTCGTCCAGCCCCGACGCTTCTCTGCTGGGGACCAGGTCCCCACTGCCTCTCAGCCGCGGGCCCTCTGCAGCTATAAATCTGTCACCCGTCTTTAGGGTTACTATGAGGAGAGCACTCTGGAAATGCACAGTATAGGTTGGAGCTCATTATAACTGTCCTGGAATAGTCATGTTCCAGCCATGTAGCATTTTAGGTGCCTTTGGAACATCCTTTTACACTGGTGCAGCAGTTTCCTGATGGGTTCTTGGTACCCATGCTGCATAACTGAGTTGAGCCCTGCCTTGTGACCTTGCTCGGTGTCTGCTTCTGCCCAGCCCATGCTAAAGTGTGTAGTGAGTCCTTGTTGAATTTAATTGCATATGCAAAGTGCTGCCAACCAGGAGTCCCCCAACAGGCCTCTGCCATAGGCTTGCTGTGTGACCTTTTCTGTAGACTGGCAAGAATCACCCTTGCCCTGCCTGACTCACGGTGGTGTTATGATGATCCAAGGAGCTAATTGATGTAAAAAGACTTGGAAAAAGTTTAGGGGCTAACTAGATGGAAGGAGTTGTGTCATGACCATGAACTTCAGACTTTCAGCTAACAATAGATGTGTGAAAGAGGCAGCTTCAAAGCTAAGGTGAGACATAAGAACCCTGAGGTGGAGCCAGAAAGCTGGCTTTGAATCCTGGTGCCAACACTTTTTAGCTAGGATCTAGGATCTTGGGCCAGTCATTTCCCTTCTGGAACTCTCAGAGCGCCCATTGATAACTCCTAATAGTACTTGTGCAGCCTGCCTGGGAAGGGCTATGTGCAGAGGGCTTTGTAAACCTGAGAGCCCTCAGCAGAGGGGTTGGTACTGTTGTGATTACAAGCTAATGCTCAGATGGGACAGAGGGGCTGCTGGTCAGGGAAGGTGACGTCTGCATTGGTCTTTAAAGGAATGGGTAATGCAACAGGAGAAGGGATAGAAACCGCCTCTGAATCTCTTCACTTATGTGCACTCTCTCTATGGCTTCCCACCCAGGGTCCGGATTCCCACTATGGCACCAAAGGCCTGCGCAAGGTGATCCGTGAGTCACCCACAACGGGGGCCAAGACCTGCTTCACCTTCTGTTACGCAGCTGGAAACAACAATGGCACCTCGGTGGAGGATGGACAGATCCCAGAGATCATCTTCTACACATAATGGCCTGCCTGGCAGTGCCGTCCTGGAGTGGCCCTCTCCCCCTCTCCTCTCCGGCTGAGTCCGACCGTGCCAATGGGCGCGGCTGGCCCAACACACACTTCCATGTTTCTGCCTCGTGTTAGTGATGCCGCTGCCGCTCTCCCCACAGACTGGTTTACAGGAATCCACTATAGTCACATGGGGTAGTAACTGCCTCCATTTTAGTGGTCATCTTATTCTCTGACTTCATGAAAAGCATTTTTTAAAAAATTGTAATGAATGTAGATGCTTTTATGTTGATTAGAAGCATGAAAAAAATACTTTGGTTGAGGTGGGAAACTTCCTGTAATGAGACAATCCCTTAAGAGATTGGAGGAAAAAACCAAACAAAACAGGAGGGTCATATTGACCCTTGCCATCTCCTCCTCCCCCTTCCCTCCCACACCCTCCTTCCTCATACACAGGGGAAAGAGCATTTGTCCTTTGGGTCCAGGGATACAACCCAGCGGGGTGGGGTTTGCCTCATTGCAAAGGTTTTTTAAGTGAATGTCTGAAGAGAGCCGTCCTTTACGTCGGTCAGCCCTGTGGTGCCCACAGTCAGTTGTATCCCTTTGTTAACTAGAGACAATCTGTTCTGTGTCATACACGTGGCACCAGGTGGACTGACCACTTGTCTGTGAGCGAGGGACAGCATGTCAGCATGGGAGGAGGAGCAGAGGCGGGGTCCCGGAGCGTCCCTCAGACTTTGCTTCCGGGTCGAGATAGTGGCTCCATTTTGTCAGTGTCCGGTAAGCTTGGGGGGTGATCCCACACTGTCTTGGGGGAGCCAGTTGAGAGAGAAAAAGGAAGTCCTTTCAGCGGCAGAAGCTGTCGGGTGAACTAACCTGATCCCAGAATCCCCCCTAAAACTGCCGTTGTCTGTGTCATTTATTTTTGTAGACTGCACGTTGCAATGCATTCTGGGATTGACCCTTCTCCTGTAAGGAGGGGTATGTATGGTGTTGGGGGAAGGGAGAGATCCTCATTCTTATTTTGTGTGAGTGTGAGAGAGAGTGTGTGTGTGTGTGTGTGTGTGTGTGTGTGTGTGTGTGTGTGTGTGTGCACCAGATGCCCAGAGCCTAGGTCAGGAAACAGCCCAGCCCAGGGGCTTCCTTGCCACGTGGCCCAGGGCCGAGGGAACGTTTCAGGAACGTGTTGCAGACTTTGTTCTTGTTCTTCCCCACTCCTCCTAGTTCCCTGGTGGCCAGAAATGGAGTCCGTGCTTATTTCGGCTAATCTCTTCCTTGCCTTAGTGCTTTACTGAAGTCCGTTTCTCTGCAGCCTTTTTGTAAAGGCTTGTGTTTGGGAAGGATCCTTAGTCCAGAAGGGGGCAGCTTCTACCCATTTGCTTTCTGCCTTGTTCTTACCAGAGAGGGTGAGGATGCCCCTTTCCCCTTTTACTTTGTGCACATTAGGGGATTGACTCCAAGACCTGATTTACAACTGGATCACTCACAGAAGTGTCGTGGTTTCCTTGTTTGAGAGTTGTGTGGGGCCACTTCCTGTTCCTTTTGTTTGTATCTTGGTTAAATGATGCTACACAAATCCCCCAAGGGCAAAAAGACCTGAGTTTGTTGTCCATTGTCTTTCTCTTCGAGGCCAGAGTGCACAGATGGGCCTGTCCTGCTGCCCAGGGCTGGAGCGCAGGGCTTAACTCACTCGGTTTGTCTCGGTGGGCGCCTGCGTCCTGCCCTCATGCTGCCTCCCTCACAGCGATGAGCCAGGAAGTTGCCTTCTGCCTTGCTGTTCGAGGTCTGAGGACTTGGATGCGAGGGCAGTTTTCTCACGGGGATGAACGGTGATCCCCTTTTCTCTTCTACAGTAACTGTAGCGAGGTTTTGCTGTCCAGGCTAAGCTGGTAGCAGGCTCGAGCCGTATAACTTGATTGAACAGAGCAGACAGCTCCGAGGCCCAGATTAGTGGTAGCCAACATTCATGTCATAGGGCTAGTTCTTGGGTCAGGAGCCCACTGTCAGGCAGTGTGTTGTGAGCTGAAATCCTCAGTGAATGACCAGGCCCACTGGCCCCTTCCTCCAGAGGAAAACATTTGCTGGAAGATAGACACTGTGGCTGTGTTTGTTGAGCACTTGCCTTGTTTTCACCTTGATGTTGTTTCTGAATGTCAGCGTTCTCTGCCTACAGGTGCTGGAGGGACACCATTAGGTGTCCCTGCTTCCCCTCTGCCCTTTCCTCTGGTGCCCTCTTCATTTCTCATCTTGTCCCATCCCCTGCCCAAGAAAGCAGGATATTCCTTGGGTACTATACCAAGCACTTGTCACAGGGGAAGATGATTTGTGTGGGCGTGTGTGTGTGTGTGTGTGTGTGTGTGTGTGTGTGTGTGTGTGTGTGTTTCATTCCAACAGTTTTTCAGTTTCAGTGATTCCTTCTGTTCTACAGAATCCCTCCTCCCAGAAGCCATGGCAAAGGTGTGATCCCTCACACCTCATCCTATTGAAATGATTTTTAAAAAATAAAATAAAATAAATGTGTACACATCTTCTGAGCAGTGTACATTCTTACGGCTTTCTGCAGTCTGGGCATTGTAGCTAGGATGAATGTAACTCATTGCTGAACATGCCTGTCTCCTGAAGCTGGAGAATTTCCCTGTATCATGTCCACTCTTGCATTGGAGTTGGGAATGTCTAGATTCATAAGCATTGCTATATTGATGAATGTATCTAATGATTTCTCATATTCAGTGTTCAGACACTCTGCTTTTGGCCAGCTTTGTGACTTGTAAATAGGTCATCAATAAAGAAATGGGGTTGGTTGTCTTTATTGTTTCGGAGACACAGTGTTCATTCTGCTAAGGTGCCAGAGTGCACTGTGGGTCTGGGAGGAAGGAGGAGCATCTCCAGAGAACTGCTGGTCCAACACGGCCAAGTTGGGGCTATAACCCGTCAGTTTCACTCAACCTTTAGGGCTCCCCCACTCCCAATATTTTATGGATCCAGAGGGAAGTCTTAAGTATGTCTTGACTTGTTTGAAATAGGTTTGCCTTTGGGTGGGAACATAGCCTTTTCTTTCTTTGAAATCCCATATACGTCTTTGTACATAGCAAGTGTTATTTGTGTTCTCACTCACTAGACAGTTGAGGTGTGTGTGGGCTGAGAGCTCACAGTCCAAGCAGTCTCCTTGGTTTGAGAAGCAGATCCCATCACAGCAGAGAAGGCACCCGAGGGTTGCCTAGGAATGTCTTCCTCATTACAGTGTTGACATTGGTGATCTCAGCAGAACTGAATGGCCCACCCCTTTCGTCTCAAGCTATGTTTGGTTCTTTCTTAGACACGTATCTTGTGTATGTCTGCTTCTGAGCCCTATTGTGATTAGTGTTTCTCCTGTTTTTATTGTACCAGAAAATGGCTTCCTTCTCCCCCTGCCTCTCCTTCTCTGGTCTTCCTCCTTCCCCCTCCCTGAATATTCCTTGTACGTAGGATGTGCCCTGACCTGGGCAGAGTACAAAACTATCATCTTCCTCTCAGTGCACCCTGAGGTCACTTCACTTTCTGACTGTTCTCTCATGGTGCTTTCAATCCACCGAAGTCCTCAGCACACCTTCCCTATCTCGTGCTTGTGAAATTGCCTTCACGCTCATCCCAGTGAACTTTCGTCGCTTCAGATCTGGCCCGGTGTTTAGCTGCTTCAGAACTCTTTCGGTCTTCACTGGGTTGTCGTAGATGCCAACACTGAAGCACAGAACCCGTGTCCAGTGACCTGCCCAAGCAAGATCGCACAAAGGACCAACAAGTCAGGTCTGACCTCAGATTAATTACTCTTTGCTGTGTGTGTTCATTTGGTGCCAGCTTGGTGCTCTCTCTGAATTTGTGCCAGGGATAGGAACGTTCACCAGCCTCGGGCCCGGAAAGGCCTGTGGATCACTCCAGTAGGGGCCTCCTCACAGCATCGCCCAGCCCGCATCTCTCCAGCTTGTCCATAAGGAACACACGAGGGGCTTCGTCGGAGGCTTTCCTGGTCTACAGTTTTCTTAGTATGTTTGAAGTCTGCTATGCCTGCAGCATTCCTCCAGTCTCACGGTCTAATAACTTGTCAAAAAAGGAAACATGACTAGTTTGGTTGGAGCCGTTTTTGATGAAGCTGTGCTAACTTGGCAGCTGATGCCATTGGGGATAGAACACCAGGCCTGGAATCAGAAGACCCAAGTTCCTGTCTGGCCTCAAATACTTCCTAGCTGTGTGACTCTGGACAAGTCATTTCACCTCTCTCTGCATCTGCAGAATGGAGATCATAACACCTACCTCCCAGGATTGTTTTAAGGACCAAATGAGATAGTAATCATAAAGTGGTTAGCACGGTGCCTGGCATACAGTAGGCACTTAATACATGAGTATTTCCTTCCTCGTGATCAGTTTCCTTTTCTAAATGCTCACAACTTGGCTTGAAATAATTCATTTTAGATTTTGCCAATGATTAAGTTAAACTTGGGGAACCATTGGCTCACAGGTTTGTTAACTTAAAAACACGCAACACTGATATTCACCCTTCTCTAGACCTACATCCCCTCTCCTATCCTTGAGGACTGATCTTTCAGAGATTGCTGCCAGCAGCTCAGCAACCAGATCCAGGAGCGTCTACTTGATACACTGGGTTTCAGCTCCTTGCTAATCATCTTCCCTCTCAGTCCAAAGATCATTTTTTTTTTTGGTTTGTTTTTAAGGCAGTAAAAGCTGCTGGAGGAGCCACGTGGTCCTTGTCGTCTCTAGCTGCGGCCGAGGCAGGCCCGCAGAGCCCTGGGTTTGCTGTGGCCCTCCTGGCCGCCCTCTCTGCAGTGCGTTCCAAACCTTAGTGGACCTGGCACCCTTTCTCTGTGCCGAGACTCCTGTGCACTCATCCTCCTCCCTTGCTTTTACTTTCATCCTGGGTGTTTGTATTTGAAGAACATGGTGGTCAGTGAGTTGCTTATACATTCACATCGAGCTTTTTAGGCAGCCTTTACTTTGTCACTGGAATTGTTTGCATCATTAGATTTTAATTTAGAGGAAAACAAACATTAAAATAGGGCAGTCGGTGGCACAGTGGACAGAGTGCCGGGCCTGGAGGCAAGAAGACTCATTTTCCTGATTTCAGATCCTCAGACACTTACTAGCTGTGTGGCCTTGAGCAAGTCATTTAACCCTGTTTGCCTCAGTTTCCTCATCAGTAAAATAAGCTGGTGAAGGAAATGGCAAACCCCTCCGGTTTCTCTGCCAAGAAAACCCCAAAAGGGGTCATGGAGAGTTGGACACAACTGAAAAATGACTCAAAAACAGAATAGAACTAATGAAGAGGAATGTACTACATAGGTTGGAGCCTATACGTAAGGCACAGACGCACAGACTCACAGACTCATTCCACAAACTCCTGTGTGTGCCAGGCACTGTGGTAGGCCCCAGTGAAGAAAGAAAGAGCAATGAAAGAGCCCTTTCCTTCCCGGAGAACTTCTGTTTGAGGCTTCAGGTGTTTTCGGAGGTTTGTTCCTCCCCTTCCACGACCTGGGTGTCTGTCTGAATGGGGCTCTGAGTCAGCAGACGTGGGTTTGAATTCTGGCTCTGCTGCTGCCTCAGCTGGGTGCTGCTGGGAGTGTTACGTCATCTTCCCAGGCCCCTTCCAGCGTCACAGCTCCGCCCCAGGATCCCAAGAGCCGAGAGCTACCCACCCCTCTTCTGTAGGCCCTGTATGTGTGTACCAGAGTCCTCTGTCTCTGTCAGGTGTTTTACTGTTACTCCTCTGGAATCATGGTCGGTCATCACGCTGATCAGAGCTCCTCATTCTTTCAAAATTATCTTTCTGTCATTATGTGGATCATTCTCCTGGTTCTGTTCATTTTGCTCCTCAAAGTCTTCCCGGGTTTTAACGAAGCCATCCGCTCCATTCTTTATCACAGCACCCTAGTATTCTGCCACGTTTATACACCGTGATTTGGCAAGCCATCCTCCAGTTAATTGGCACCCCCTCAGATTCTGGTTCTCTGCCACCTCAGAAAGTTATCAATATTTTTATACATCCTCATCCTTGGAGTTGTTTTGCTTAGGATTAATCTGACCCTTAACCTACCTTCCCTCTAATTTCCCCTTTGCCCTTCTCTCCTGTTTTCTGCTGTTGAATGAAGTACTTCTTCCCTTACTCAACCATTTCAGGTGAGAATAAGGTCAAGTATCAGCCCCTTACCCTAACCCCCTGTGGCCCTGCTTGTTTGTGTAGACTTCTATAGATGTTTACACCCCGATTGTGTGAAATTATTTCCCATTACCTTACTTTCCCCTCCTACCTCGAGGCCCTCCCTTCCTCCCTACCTCTTCCCCTCTCTCCCTCTCTTTTAAGATATCAAGATTATCTTACACCACTTAACACCACCCGAGGCCTTCAATCCACACTCCCTCTCTGAGCATGATACTGTACAGTGTAAGCAGTTTACCCTTTGGTCCCTTACTAATTTTTTTAGTTTTGACCTTTCTCTATACTACTGTGTTTGGAATTCACTTTCTGCAGAGTCCTGGCCTTTCCCAGGTCCTTTATTTCATTCAAGGTCTGTTTCCCTGTAGCAGGATCATGCTCCATTCTGCTGCTGGTTACTCTTGACTGTAAGCCTAAAACAGCCTTTGGGAGTAGTCATCTTGTGCGCTGGCGGGCCGGACCCTGCTGCCTTCGCACTGGAACTCTTGGTGGCTACTTGCAGCATTTTTTCTTTAACTAGAAATTCTGGGTTTGGGCTGCTAGGTTCCTGAGCGTTTTCTTTTTTCTTTGGTAGGACATGACTATGTTTCCACTTTTGCCCTCTGGGTATTTAGGCTCTTGTTTTGGCCATGGCTTTCATGTAGTTTGATGATTCTTAATTTTTCAATTCTTGATCCGTTTGACAGGTCGTGTTTTTACTTTGAGATGCCTTACATTTTCTTCTGTTTTTTTTTCCAGTCTTTTGACTTTTGTTTTAATAGTTCTTGTCTCTTCATTTTCAGGGAGTTTAGTGCTCAGGCAAGGTTCTGTATCTCTGGTGCCAAGCTCCTGATTCCCCGGGATGTTCCTGTCGGGGTTCTGTCGGGTGAACTTTCTAGATCCATTTGGAGGAGTTGTTTGGAGGGATCTTCCTGTACTACTTCCTGATACACTGCCTTCCTGGAATCCCCTCCCCCTCTAGAATTTTGAATTCTCTGAAGTCCACTCTCCCAAATTCTAGAGCATATGTCAGACTAGGCCTGGCTTTTTTCCCCTCTTATCAAAAATTCTAGGATGGAGTATTAACTCCCTACCCTAGGTTTCTGTCATTTCTACCAAAGCATCCATTTCTTTCTTTCTTCTTTTTTTTTTTTTGGGTGAGGCAGTTGGGGTTAAGAGATACACAGATAGTGAGTGTTAGGTGTCTGAGGCCAGATTTGAACTCCGGTCCTCCTGACTCCAGGGCGCACACACTATTTCTACCTCCACTGATCTTCACCCAGCTGTCCTCTACTGTACCTCTTGGGTTTCCTTCTGTGAGACGGAGATCGTCTAGATACACTCACAGTG